ATATACCCGGGGCCTGAACTCTCTGCGGATGCCAAAACATCCCCCTAATTTAAAATGTTGCCTCCCAGCAGAGATGGAAGCCCAGCTTCATTTCATTGGATGATGAGTTTAAATCAAATATATCATTTGATTTTATTTCTTTGGCCTATAAGCTGTTGAGATGTCTGCCTTCTTTGAATGTAATGAAGCTAGTTGGCTCTTTGCCCTGTGCAGAAAAATACATTTGAAGTTCAACATTATTTTTCACCCCGATGCTTAAAGGCAAAGAATATGTGTGTCTGTCTGAGGGGATTATAGTGTAAAAGTGTAAAATCACTTTTAATTGCTAGCAAGAGTTGAAAATCATACTACAGATATCAATTTACAATGTTTACATCCTGTTACAGCGTCACAAGCCCTCCTCTGACTTTCTTCTGCTAAGTGAGACGGTTGGCGTGTAAACATGGATGCCATCCCCTCACCGGAGCTGTAAAGTTTGCAAGCTTCACGCTTCAGTTGGTTGGCAGGTACGGCTTGGTAGACAGAGTTTAATTCCCAAATGAAATTGCTCACAAAATGTTATGTTTTCATCCTTGAGCTAACTGGGACACACCGAACAATCTAAATGGATAAAAAGAGACAAAATCTGTACATTTGATTTGGAAACGAGGCGTGCTTTAAGATAATTCTATATCTTGCTGGCACATTTCAGCTGCATGCAAGCAGCCATTTTTGCTCCCATAGGGAAATTTGTCATATTTTCTTTGGCCAGCTTCAAAAATATGCATTAATACTTTCTAGTTGCTTAGTTTAAGACTGGCTGAAGATTGCAAAATCCACTCTCTGGCACCTCTAAAGCTCATTAACTAACTCACTAATCCTGCTTGTTAAGTTAAAATTGCCTAAAATGTAAAAAACAGTAAGTGTAACAGCATCTAAAGAAGAACCAGATTAAATATAATGTGTTAATTTAATAGGATTAGCTTTACTAAGAAAAGGATTTTGATGTTGGTTTCTTCCGAGTTCAGTTTCTCTTGCTAATCGTCTGCAGGCATGAGGCGGTGTGGATATTCTCATGAAGATTTCATCCAGCGAGGATAACGGTGTTCTCCAAGCATCTAACTGTTTGTATCAGTGGAAACTGATTGATTGAAATTCTGAAAACAGCGTATGCAATTATCTGTAAAACCACACCTGCACAAAAATGTAGAGTAAGGAGAAACACCTTGCACAAAGAAAGAAAATTACACCCACTCTCCATTTCTGAATAGAGCTGCTAAATAAACAATCATTACAGTCAACAAAGTGCTGATCTCAGCTGCTCTTTATACTTGTTTGTGAGGGACTTTGTTTGCTTGGGAGAGACTGGTTTCTGTATCAAATGTTTTACGTTTGTGTGTGTGTGTGCGTGTGTGTGTCCACAAATCAGTTGAGCTGGGAGGCACAGCTGATTCCCTCGTATTTTAGGCCATAAAAGCTGCATTAGGCTCGGGTTTATGACAGAAAAAGTCTCTGATGGGTAAATGCTGAGCTGTAATGAGGTGAAATGCAGGACAGAAAATTTCCTGCAGCTGCAGTGAATAAACACAAGTGGTGAACAGCGAATTACTTGTGCTGAATATACAGCCTCATCAGTTATTTATAACTTAATTAATGTTCGG